CATGACACCATCAAATTCCAACAAATTTACGGTTGTTTTTTATAGGTATTATAAAAAGTATAGAACAACATAATATTTCACAGGTATAACTTGGATAATGAAATAAATTTTATATTTCGTTTATTGAAAAGTTCTAAGATGTGTTAATTGAATATCCAGAAAAAAATATGTAATCTTTCAAGAAAAATACTAATTTTGTATTTTATTTAGGGTAAATAAATTTCATTTTAAGGTAAATACAAATGATTCTCACAGAAATACTTGATTTAATTATTAAGGAGAAATCTAAAGAAAGAATATTTTTCCACATAAAGGAAATTTCGTTGCAGTGAAATTCAAGAGAGTCAACCACAAATTTGGCGAAATAGAGTTAAGTTAACAAAGGCATTTTAAAACCATTAAAGAATCCGCAAACAATGACAAGAAGCCGCAAAAGTTTTTTGGAATTCAAATAATTATTCATTAAAAAAGTATAAGATAACATCAAAAGGTATTTTCAAAGGTTTAATATTCTATCTAAAACAAAAAACAAAAAAAAAATTACAAAAACCTGAGGCAGAGGACAACAAACAACCCACAAAAAATGCAGACATCTTTTTAACACGAAAGTGCAAAATCCTCATATTGGGTCAAAACTGTTATTTCCACATATGTGGTATTCAAGCGTGGTATACCGCATGAGTGTAGTAAAATTATAAAAAACGTGCTTGCACAAACCCATTTGCTCCATTAGGTGTGTATACACGGCGATATTGCTTTGTTATGCGATATTACATCGTATTTTTATACGGGAGTTTGAATAGACTTGAATGCTGGAATATCAAATGTCGCGTATGGGGACAGAGCGAACAGAATTGATATCAAGTTTATTTTTATTTTTTAATGTTGGTATACCCATACATATCGCACTTTTTTATCCATATTACGATGCTCTATTGTCGGAATTTAAATGGCATTCAACATATAATTAAACGATACATAAAACATAAAATTAATAAAAGTGAGGTTAGATAGATTTGACAGAAGTCGAATTTCTTTATTGCTCCAAAGTAGTAAATATTAAATTTTCACGACCTAGGCCATAAATAACCTAACCCGATTTGTCTAAATCATTTTTAAGTGCTTGCAGATAAACATTTTTATTGATTAATGATTTCCAAACAAATTGCAATAATACATTTTAGGTTTGATATTTTTTTTTCAATATAAATTGTTGCGGCAAGCCAGGCGATAATGTAGGGTCATTTGTATTTCGCTGACAAACGGTTCTCCATAATTGCGATCAATTAGTTTAGCGTAACAGGTGAATCAGCTGAGCTGTGTGTTAATTTTAAACCTAATAATGGACCAGCTTGTTTAATTTAAAATATTTTAATATGTTTAAAACGATTAAATTTAAAGAACCCTGCACTAATCCTATGGAAAGTTGGTCCCAGACTAGAAAATTTTCAAAATTCACAAAACTCTGGAATTTTTTAATTTCCAAAATTTTTAAAATCTTCCAAATTAGGGATTAATAGGTCCAATTACAACATAAATGTCTCCTGGAAAAGTAGTAACAAATAAGTAAAAACTTCTGAAAAAACTATATACAGGGTAGGGCACCCCTTTGTTCAATTGCACAACTAAATCGCGCACGTTATTTGTGTTTTACGTTGCAAGGAAAAAACTAAAAAACTGGTTTAGTACTCGATTTCGATTGATTAAGAAACTCAACGCTTAAATGCTTATATAGTTACGTTAGTGTGTGTATTTTATCTAAGGGATCATGGTGAATTATTCTGTTTTTAATTGTAAATAAAATTCAAAAACTAAATCGTTGCATTTTCATGTTTTGCCAAAGGATCCAATTCGGTAAGTACATTTGTTGGTGCAGAATTAACTAATGATAACTTTACCTAATATAATTTATATTTAAGTTTAGACGTTTTTAAGAAATTGGTAAAAAATTATTTTTGCACAAACATAACCTTAAAATCAGCCATTTTTATATTTGAGTTCTCTTAAAAACGCCGACATCTGAATTTTAAATAACAAAATATACCTACGAATTCATGGCAACATAATACATAATATAATGGTATTTTACCGTTGAGTGGAGACTTTCTTAATCAACGCTTTTAATAATGCTAAATGCTGTTTAAATTTAGACGACTTATTTGTTTGACGATTTTTACTGAATTGAAATGTTTACACTTTTCACGTTAATCACTACTAAAATGTGTATTTATTGTATCTAATAGGTACAATTTATATTTACAGAGACTGTATGCAATTTATTTCTTCATTCAGATTAACACTATTTATTGGAAAACCGGTAAAAACTCAACCTAGGATTTCCTCTTGAAATCGAGTCAAGGTTTTTTTTCGATATTTTTTAACATTTTCCGGCTTTATTCTCAAAAACACTCGTTTGTAACCTAAGCGTTTGACAGCTGATTATTAAAAGTTGTACTTTTGTTACGATGATAACAGCCGAGTGGTGGCGCTACTAGCGATACTTCTTTAGCGTATTATTATAGAAATATACCCAAATTTATCTTAAAATTAAAATTAATTAATTTACTAATGGTAAAATAAAAAAAACTGCAATAAGTTATTAGTTAAAATAATAAATCAACTAAATTAACTACAAAATTAAATTGGCGAACATTTATAAACTTGAAAGAAGGCCAAACACCATTTACTTGCAATTTTCATTATTTAATTTAAAAAACAGGAGTGCTTCTAATCGATATTAAAATTCAAGTAAACTTCAGATTCTTGTTCAATATAAAAGGTTTTTTTTACATTTAAAACTCGTTAAATGCCACGAAAGGTATTTTTGCACCTTACTATTATTAATTTTTAAATTAAAAAATTCAAGATCCAAAAAAACCTGGAATTATAATATCGATTATATTTTTTTGTTTAAAAATTACTTTTATTTTCTTTATTTTACAGTGAGCGTAAACAAATTAAACCTTTTATTATTGAACCGTTGGATTTAAAATTTGTATTATTTTCAGAAAATAAGACGAAATTAGCGTTTAACTGAAACATAGATAATCTCAATTATTTGTTTTCAAATGTCAAGGTGGGACATAGGATAAACCACATAGTTATTAGACACTTACACTGTTTAAAATATCTGTGGTGTAAAGAGTAATCTTAAAATGGTGTCAAAATCCAACACCAAGTGGTGTTAATATAACACCATGAATTATGGTTAAAATGTTATATACAGCAAACACCAAAACGGTGTTTACCTAAAAATATTTGAGAAGTGCACCTACACAGAAAAAAAGGAATAGTTCATTTAACTATATTAATTTAGTTGACCCATAAGTATTTATTTTTTTTATTTTTATTAACTGTGCACAGTGTCCCTGAACGAAGTTTAGGACACATAAAAATGACGCCAAAAACTGATTGCAGTTTCTCGTTCGGGACCCTTTGGTGAATTAAAAATGATATTTACCAAAATCCTAGCTGATCCTTTTTTCGAAATTTTTTCAAAATTTATGATTTTTTTTTTAAATTTTTATTTATTTCAAAGTCTACCTTTCACAGAGTACACATTTGTACACCGATTTTTATAAAATTAGAGTATATTATTGAGGAGACTTAAAGAATACTTTTTAATAATGTTCACATCATTTGATATATACAGGGTGGACCAAAAATCGCTTAATTTTAATAAAGCAAAAGCGTAAATTCATGATTTTGGCATAACAAGCAAAACAGATGTATCCCCATTTTTTTTTAGATATTTCTATGTTTATTAGGTTACAAAATGGCATTCCTATTAACCTTTTATTAAAAAAATAGATTTTTAATAAAATTATATAAAATAACGCTTAGAGAATATTTAAAATGTTGTTTAATTTAGGCTTTTTAGAAGTTTTCAATTTTGAACGAAAAACTGGTTAAAGTTTTTTGATCGGCACTCTTTGGAGATTTAAAAACGGTATTTACCAAAATTCTAACTGCTTTTCTTTAAATTTGTTAAAAAATCATTTTTTTTTAATTATTTGTTTATCGCAAAGTCTACCTTTTCCAGAGTACCGATTTGTACACCGATTTTTATTGATTGCAGTTTCTTGTTCGGGACCCTTTGGTAACTTTAAAATGATATTTAACAAAATCCTAGCTGCTCCTCTTTTCGAATTTTTTTGAAATTCTTAATTTTTTTTTAATTTTTGTTTATCTTACCTAACAGAGTACACATTTGTACACCAATTTTTATAATATTGGAGTATATTGTTAACGAGACTAGGAGAATACTGTTTTCATACTGAGCACATCATTAGATTTATACAGGATTAGCCAAAAATCACGTTTTTATATAGTAAAAAGCATAATGCACAAAACAGATTTATCTCCAAAAAAATTTATTTTATTTAATTTTATTCAAAATCAATTTTTCTTATAAAGTCTTGATAAGAATCCCATTTTCTAGCCTGATAAACATATCTAAAAAAATATCTAAAAAAACATGGGTGGGTATATATCTTTTTTGCGTGTTATGCCAAAATCATGAATTTACGCTTTTGCTTTATTAAAAGAAGCAATTTTTGGCTAACCCTGTATATATTAAATGATGTGCACAGTATAAACAGTATTCTCCAAATCTCCTAAACAATATACTCCAATATTATTAAAGTCGGTGTACAAATGTGTACTCTGTCAAGGGTAGACAAATTTTCAAAAAATTTCGAAAAGAGGATCAGCTAGGATTTTGGTAAATATCACTTTTAAGTCACCAAAGGGTCCCGAACAAGAAACTGCAATCAGTTTTTGGCGTCATTTTTATGTGACCTAAACTTCGTTTTTTGTTTATATTAACCTTCCCACATGTGGGAAGGTTAATATAAACAAAAATTAGTCCGACGGTACTAAACCAGATAGTTATTTTTTTTTAAATTGGTTAAATTAACCCAGAAAACTTTAGTGAAACCAACCCGCTGTATGGTTCAGTTTACTAAATATGTTGTTTGTAAAATAAGAGTTACTTCAACCTAAAGCACTCTGTTAAAAGGATTAAAACAATTTGGCGTGCATTTCCGGTTGCATAGTGTGTACCGGTCGCGACAAAGGCGGTGTGGATCACGAGATGTTCTTAAATCTCGCCTCTGTTGACTTACATGAAGAGTATATAAGCTCAGGTAGTCCTTTGCTTTGGTGTGGCACTACAAGTTGTTCGATACTAAAGATAAATAGGTGGAAACAGCTGTCAATACTTGAAGTATTTTAAGTTAGTGGAACGAACTAAAACATTATCTCTAGCGAGTTGAAGGTTCAATTTTCTGGAATAAAACTACCACTGGTAAAATACTAGTAATGCGTCAAGGAACCATATTTAACACCATTTTGGTTTGTATCGATATAGACAATGTATGGTGTTAATTTGGTGTTAAAATGGTCATGAAATTTTAAACAGTGTAAGGAATATTATTTATTTAAAATTTACTTAAAAATAAGAATATTTAAATTTTTAATAATATTTTTATGAAAACATGCAAAAAAGTAGTAATTGGACACATGGTCCATAGTTATTGGGCATACAATTTTTATATAAACATAACAACTTTACATCAAATAACATAAATTGTTAAATATTTTTTAAAGATAAGTTGCTGTTTTAGGTATTGTTTTTTATTTCCTTTTTGTAAATACCATTTAATTCATATATATCTTTCTCGGATCACGGTTCACCGAACAACGTTTTTAACGAAAAAAATAGAACAACTTTGAAACATTTTTAAAAAAAATACTTACCAAGTATTCAAAAAAAAAGTAAAATGAAAATCTTCCATGTAGATCTTGGGAAATAGCGATCAATTCTTCGTAATTTATGTGTAGTATCGTGTATTGATAAAATTTTAACTGTCTCAAAGTTAATATTTGTAGATTATTTTTAATTTGAAAGACTCATACGATAGTAGGAAACTCAAACTTTATTCTTCTGAATGCATTATTCAAAATTATAAACGTAAAAATTAATAAACTTTAACAAAAATGTAAAAAACAACAAAATAAATCTAAGCCTACAGATGTTGACTATTGTATGCACAAAGACATCGCCACTAATAATTCTCGTCAACAGCAATTTGTATCCAGGACATTTAGCAGTCAATTCCTATGAAATATTATTCGCTGAATCCGAAAATGTTATAAAAGTAGAACAGTTTTTGAAATATAATCAATTTTACATATAATATGGAATTGACTATATCTCAAAAACTGCTTAACTTTTATATTTTTTGACGGTCTTTTTGGATTCAAGGGACAATTGGCTGGTAAATGTCCGGGATAAAAATAGAGAATGATATTGGATATATGTCCAATAATAGAAATTTACATTTTTTACCAACCAGTAATTGGTTTTTCTGCAATAACCTTTGTAATACAAGTTGACGTAATTTATTCATAAAACTTTGTGTTTTGTGTCGAGCTAAAACCGTCAACGTGATACTGAAACGCGTTGCTTAAAGGAAGCTTATAATTAGAGGCTTTCATTGCGCCATTCATCTGTTTTTGAAAATGACACCATCGCGACGCACATTATGGTCCGTTTCATAAATATTTACTCATGTTTTTTATGAATTGCTAGTTTTGGCAACATCTTCAGTAAACCAATATAAACCAATCTTAATACTGCAAAAAACTTGTACATAACCACAATCCACACAACAAGGTCTGTTCGATCTCGTACTAAAAATCACTGCAAACCTGCACATCATACAATGGCGGCCATTTTTGTTGTTTACAATTCTTGTGCTTTGGGTTTGTTCAGATTAATAATCGTTTTAAACGTTGTGTTTATTTTAGAGAGACTTGCAAGCCTTAAAAGAGACCTCAAAGTGGTAAGAACATTTTACTCCTCTTTTGTAAAAAATAAACCTTATTCTATCAGGGCTGTCAAATGTCAATTTGAAGGTTAATTTGTGGGTTATAAAATAACCTTGAAAGAAACGGCTGCGGGTAATAAAATATTTACAATATAATTAAGGGTTCGGTCCCCACAAATGCATGTACTATGCTCCACACCTCAAAGTCCCACCACGTGACCACGTACGGAACGCAGTCTTTTGAAAATTGGGCATTTAAGGCTTTTCAGTTTTTGTATCTGTCAAAGTATAGTCAATGAAAGAAATAATATTTATAGTGTTACCCCTTATGTTTTAACGTTAAAAGTTAATAAATCTTTATAGTATCACAATAACAATGGTTGGTTTAAGAATTTAGGAATATAAATACTGCATTTAATGAAATTCCAAAGTGTAAGGTGCAATATAAGTGATATTTTTGTGCATTGGGTCTACATTTCTCCATAAAATAGTTTTAATTAAACAGCTTTTATTAAAAAAATCCAACTTTTCTATTATGAAATAAGAATATCTGTGTCAAAGGTAGGTTAATGTATTAGAACAAAAAATATCATCTTATTTTTAATTTTAAGGTTAGAAAAATCTATTTTGGCAAAAATAAATAAGTGGATTATTTGGAAGAGTGTGTTAATATGTTAATAAATAAATATAGGTAGGTATACTAAATAATTGTTGAATATGGTTAAAATTAAATTGAAGCTTTTATACTTCTAATGACAAAACTTGTGGCATACCTACTTTAGGTTAGATTATAAGAAAACAAACAATTTTTAGAGAAACTTGCAATGTGAAAATATTTAATACTCCCATGACATGTGATTTATTAAAATTTTTAAAGTTATAATGATTTTTCGATGTAGATCAAGTTCAGTCGAAGCTTTTTAACTATTTGTATTGACAAAACTTTATGTAGGTACACTTTAAGCTGGATAAGAAAAACTAACACATTTTTAAATACCATTTTATACAGTCTTTTAAATAATCCACAATACTTATTTATTTTGGTCAAAATAAATTTTTCTAACGTTAAAATTATAAAATTAGATGATATTTTTGTTATAATATATTAACCTACCTTTAAAACAGATATTCTTATTCCATAATAGAGAAGCTAGATTTTTTTTAATATATGTTGTTTAGTTAAAATTATTTTATTGAGAAAACAAGATATTTGGACCAAATGCACAAAAATATTACTTATTTGGCACCATACACTTTAAAATTTCATTAAATGCAGTAATTATATTGTTAAATTCTTAAACCATTCATTGTCATTGTAATGTTATAAAGATTTATACATTTTTAACGCCTTAACATAATATTATTTATTTTGTTGACTATACTTTGACAGATACATAACCTGAAAAGCCTTAAATGCCAAATTTTCAAAAGACTGCGTTCCGTACGTGGTCACGTGGTGGGACTTTGAGGTGTGGAGCCTAGTACATAACCTATAATATGACATTTGCAGATAATGCCAACTGTGCGGAAAAACTTCATCTGGCAACCATGTTTTCCAGAGGCATAATATCGTAAAATTAATTAAACGACTTATGTAATATTGAATTGTCATTGACAGAAACCATTACAAAAAAACAAAACACTTAAATCTATCAATTGCACTTTTAAAAGGCAGGGGGGTATAAGGGGAATTTGACAACAGGCAACAGTAAAATAAATCTAGCATGCGTTGAAACCCAAGTTGTTTTTGACAAACCCCAGTTATTAACCACGTGATTCTTACTTTGTTGTGATTGGTCTTTTCCAACTTGTTCGTTGATGTTCGGTTTGAGAAATTACAAATGGCCGACAGCGTTGTTGAAGTGGTGTGTACTAAGTTTTATAATCCAAATTTTCTTTGTTTTAGGTAAGTAAACTTGTTAATTTCGGCTTTAACATTTTATTAGGTGTTTTTAGTCAAGTTTGAGTTAGTTGTAGCATCATTACCGCGTTTAAAATAAGAAAATACGTGTGATAAACCGTATCGGTTTTTTTCTCTATGTTTACCGAAAACACATGTAGTTAATAAAATTCTTTTTATGTAATGAAACCTATGGCAAAGAGTAAAGACTCTTTGCTTATGGGTTGTTTAACTAATGCAAGTTTTGATAGAATTTAAATAGTTTTAAAGCGTTTTGATTCAAAACTTTCAATCAAAACAGTTTTTAACGTTTTTTTTCTTGACACTATAGCAACTATAGTTTTTTTTCTTGACACTATAGCAACTATAGTTGCTGTTATACAAAATGTTAAATATACCTATAATCTTTGTCAAAATGTATGTTTTTGTTAAAATTATTTGATGTAGCTACGCGAAAACTGGACCTGGGTCCAGGGCCCCACTACATTGGCATTTGGTGGAGCGGAGGTTATTGAACGAACAGCCCCCTCATCGGTGGATCGGACGTAAAGGGCCCAACAATTTGGCACTTCATGTATGGTCAACACGTTCAACCGATATCACAGTGTGCGACTTCTTTCTCTGGGGCTTTATAAAAGATAACGTTTATGAGCCCCAAGATTTGTAAAAGCTAAATACACGAATTGGAACTGCCGAGTATCTACAAGATGTTTGCAGCTGGAAGAGGTCATATTAAACACTTGTAAGCATACAGTTCAAAACTTGATTATATTACAAATGTTTTGTGCTTTCCATGTTTTTTTTACATAAATATAGCATTTTGAACTACAGGGTGATAATCTTTTACAGTATTTTTATAGTTATTTTATTTGAAGGGGTCAATGCAAGAAGTGTCTAAGTCACATTTTCAATTAAATTGTTATTGTGGCTTCATCCAAGAGTTTTCACATAAGTTGAAAACCAGGCAAACTCCTATTGAAGTAAATGCAAACTAAGGCACTTGGGCACATATTTCTGCCACTTTGATACCACCTGAAACCTTACATGAAACACTCTTAGATGAAGCCACAATGTAAATTTAATTGAAAATGCGACTTAGGCACTTAAGTGCAAGAATTCTTGCATTGACCCCTTTATTTGTTCTATCTGAAAGTCTGACATTTTTAATGTACATAAATAACTAGACAATTCATAAGCAAACCTTTTAAAGAATTATTTTTAAAGTTTTTAATTCAATTATTTTTTGCTACAATATAAATTGATTTTAATTTAATATAATTAATTTTAGCTTCTGCAATAATGGAAGAATTAGACAAGATTTATCCTGCATGAAGAAAAAGAATGAAAGCTTTACTCGTCAATCCCAAACAGAAATATTTGACCAAATTTTTTTAATAATAGGTAGATATATTTTTTTTAATTTAGAATACATTTTTAGTTACAATTGGTGGTGTGTGAATATTTTTACCAAATAAATTAAGTAGTAATATTTAATTCAAACCTAAAATTAAATATTTAAACTACATAATTTAATGCTCCCTATAGGTCCTTATTGTATAATGTACAAAAGGAATTTTGGAATAAATATTATTATTATTATTATTATAAATAGTTTGAATTATTTGAATAGTTCAATAATTACAATCATAATCTATTCAAATAAGTTAATTAAGGGTTAATGACAAGTAAATAAAATTCTTTTTATTTCAAAATAAATTTTAAATTACAATTCCAATGTTCAATTTCTTCAATTACTATTGGAAAATTTTAATTTTCTAATTGAACCATTTAAAAATTTGAAACATTCAAACTATTTAAATAATTCTTGAATTCAATATTCACACATCCATAGTTACAATCCAAATATAAAAAAGTAAAAGAAAGTACACTTTTAGTATTTACTCCAAATATAATTAAATTGTTTATTGTTAAAACAAGCAATCTGACATTTTTATATTACATACACTTCTGCTTTAAATTATTATTTTGAGGCAGAAATATTTTATTTAGGATTTTTATTAGGATATTAAAAAAGGATATTTTCATGTTAAAACAGCACAAGTTAACCATTATTAGTTTTTATAAGATTTTTAAATTAAAAAATAAACAAAATCATACTTAGTTAGTTACTTAGCTTATTTTTACAATAAACCATTCAATTATTTTTATGCTGGTAAAACAATTACCTTTAGCATAAATAAGTAGCATAAATATTGATACATTATTTTTATTTTATTTTAAAAATTATTAGGTAATATCAATTGTTTTACAATTTAAATTGATTTTAAAATTGGTATTGATTTCAGGTTTGGGTTTGTGTTAATGGAAGAAGCAGACAGGACTTGAATTTATCAAACTTCTTTGCAAAAGAACATAGAAAATATTAATTGCAGTTGAATATTCTTCATTGAATCAAGAAGACGCAGGTTCAATCCATGAATCATGAACAAGAAAAAAGACAATTAATACTTAATATTGACCAGAAAGTTAAATCATACATAAAGATTTTAATTTTGCCAAATACATAATAACAATATTTTTAACATTGAGATTTAAGTGGTTCTATTGATTATTAATTTTAATTAAACCAATTTTACTAAAAATTAAATATTCCAAAGAATGTAATTTAATTTTTGGATAAGTAGGAATTCCTTTTTGCCAAAAATTCTATATTTTACAAAACTACAGTATTGTGCTTATTTTAAAAACAAATTATAATCATAATTCCTAAAAATTATAAGAGTATGGTTTGTTATTACTTATTAGTCTAATTATGGCATTAAACATTTTAGGCATAAGCCTTTTGGTTTATTCCAATAAAGAAATTTGGAAATACCTATAGGTATACAATAAGTCAGTATGTATTACAAAATTATTTATTTTTATGAATTACATATTCAAAGTTAAAATAATTTTAATTATATAATATACTCAAACTGTTTTAAAATGTTGTTTTCTAATAAGGACCAATAAGTATTGAACTATTGTTTATCAAGAATTTATCAAATATTTTGATGGTTTGTAATATGTTTTAGAGTTAATTTGTTTATAAACCTTTGCATTTTTATTAAGAAATCTTAAAAAACCTATAAAAATTGTTATTATGTGACACAAAATTAAAATTTCTGAACATTATCGCTGTAATCAAGCGATAATTGTCTTGTAGGCATATATAAGAGGGTAATTATCAATTTAATGTCATACTTTTTGATAAATTATACCTAAATAATTATAAATTATTATACATGTTTGATAAACCTTTTTTTAAATATCACTAAAAGTTATAGAATAATTAACTTTGAATTTCTCCTCATTTAAATATTATTTGTTAGTTATACTTTAATTTAAAATTAAATTAAGTGTATATTTTGTTAAATATATTTATTAAAAAAAAACAAAAATGTGTGTTTTTCCACTTAATTAGTGGAAAATAACCGAAAATTGTCGAAATTTTATATTTTTTGATTTTTAATGGACAATATTACGTATATAATCCTTTTAAAATCAAAAAAAAATATAAAATTTAAACAATTTTCGGTTATATTTCCTTGTTTTAAATAAAAATTCAAATATCCAATCATTCAAATTTCCCGCCGAAAAAAACAACTCGGTTTTCCAAGGCTTCTAGATTTAAAAATCAACCAATGCTTGTTGCCACTTTTGACTACAGCGCTTTTAATTCTCTTATGTTCTGTGTTAAAAGGTATTGACAATTTCGCGTGTAAACATGTTTTTATTATTGCCGAATTTCGAGAAATAATTTAGTAGAAGTAACATGGAAACTTCTAGTGACTTTACGTGCCTTATAAATTTAATCGGCTATTCAAACCACATCGATTGTAAATCGCCCAGAGTCGCAAATAATTTATACCCGCAATCTCACTAAAAGAATTTGTTAGAATAGATTTAAAGAAAAGGTAGATTTAACAATTTATGTTCAGTTTAGAACGGCCAAATTACCTCTAAATTTAATTTTACAATAAGTTTTTATTTAATTTGGTATTGTGACGAAATCCCTGTATGAAGTGTCAAAGACTTGTTATTATTAGTTGTTGTAAAACTTGAAACCAATCAAAATGTTTACCCCCAAACAAAAAATATTTATTGTACAATGCTATGAGTTGAGGCAAATTAGCTACAAAGGGGGTGGTTGGACAGTTTGAACAAAAGTTTCCAGTGGTTTGAAGATAAAAGTATCGAGAACAAATGTTAAAGAACGCGATGTAAATATAATGTTATCATGTATGAATACAATGAGGAGAAAAAAATATTTTTTTTGCAGACCAGTATAATTAATTAAATTATTTTGCATTCAACATTTTCCAAGAAAAACCAAACAAAAAACTACTGAGCCTAGTTTAACAGAATAAATTCGTAGTTCTCGTGATATAATAAATGATTATTTTTTGACGTTTCCAAAAGCCAATAGAAATTTTCAATTTGTCATGTGTGTACGTTTAAGCCAATCAAAAGCTTATTATATCGGAAATAATATCTCATAGAATTTATTTTCTCTGAAATTTTATGATCTGACAGATGACAGATATCTGTCATCAGTATTTTAAAATGAACAGCGAAAGGTTTAGTTCAACATCTGAGGATTAAATAAACGCTCAAATAAGAAAAAATACATAAAAAAATACTCAAACAAGGAATAAATCAATTTGGAAACAATTTCAAACGTTTTGTAGTGAAAAAGGATACTCTATAGTATAGAGTCTATACGCCAAAGAAGTATCGGGTTTTCGCAACGCGAACGCCATCTGGTAAATAAATAGGTAGTTTTTTGACAAAAAATAGGAAGGCACGTTATTTGTGTTTTACGTTGCAAGGAAACTTTTTTAGTACTCGATTTCGATTGATTATTCCTTATATCATTGATTAAGAAACTCAACGCTTAAATGGTTATATAGTTACGATAGTGTGTGTATTTTATCTAAGGGATCATGGTGAATTATTGTGTTTTTAATTGTAAATAAACTTCAAGAACTAAATCGTTGCATTTTCATGTTTTGCCAAAGGATCCAATTCGGTAAGTACATTTGTTGGTGCATAATTAACGAATGATAACTTTACCTAATATATTTAATATTTAAGTTTGGACATTTTTAAAAAATTAGTAAAAAATAATTTTCGCACAAACATAACCTTAAAATCAACCATTTTTATATTTGAGTTCTCTAAAAAACGCCGACAACTGCATTTTAAACAACAAAATTCATAATACATAATATAATGGTATTTTACCCTTGAGTGGTGACTTTCTTAATCAACGCTTTTAATAATGCTAAATGCTGTTTAAATTTAGACGACTTATTTGTTTGACGATTTTTACTGAATTGAAATGTTTACACTTTTCACGTGAAAAGTGTAAACATTTCAATTCAGTAAAAATAGTGCATATATGCAATTTATTTCTTTATTCAGATTAACACTGTTTATTGGTAAACCGGTAAAAACTCAACCCAGGATTTCCTCTCGAAATACATCCAAAAACACAACAAATCGAGCCACGGTTTTTTTTTCGATATTTTTTAACATTTTTCTGTTAAAATTAGAAAATAATTCTCCAGAAAATTTATCAAATTTGTTGTCATTCGACAATTTTCATTTTCACCCTCTTGTGATATTACTGTTGAAAATATTATCTTTTGAAAGAAAAAAGGTATTGACATCGAACAAGGATATTAAGTAGGTATACTATTTTTAAATCACATTGATAGGTGCCTATTTAAGAAGTGCCAAGAGGGCAGTATCAACCTTATTTGAAAGTTGTGCCTGCAATTTTACTTTTTATTTCGTTGGTAAATGGTTCGCGCTAGCCCGTTGAAAAAAAAACCACAAGCAATTTTTTGGGGGGGGGATTTTAACGTATAGTTTTTAAAATTCAAATATTTGTTAGATTTTAATTTTATAATTTAAGTAACATTTGACCTTAAACCCAGATAATAGTTAAAATACTGTTCAAATCACATTTCGACTCAATCTAATATTTTATTGCTCAATATTAAGTATTTTATTTGTTCCACGTAATAAAACTGATCATAGATGAAACAACGCATTAAACAAACAATCTGAAGGCTAAGCCAACAAGTTGGTTTCGATTACTCCTTAGAAAAATTTACATTTGTGCAATGTATCTTTCACATAAGTTGTTAAAATTAATTACTTTGTGGGGACTGAACACTTAATTATTTTGTAAGTATTTTAGTACCCAGAGCCCTTTCTGTCTTATTTTGGATTTTTGCCTAGTTCAAAATATTTTATACCTACTCCATACCCCGACCAATGGTGGAAGATCTGGAAGCTCTCATCGATCACTACTAGATAGTTGTTTATAAATGTGTATATAATAAAGTTAAATTTGTATATACCTAATTGATCAATTCGTACCTACGCGTACAGTCGCCAAAACTTACAATAAGATAATTATTATTATAATTTAACCTACAAACCATTTTAATTTCACTAAAAGAAACTCAAAAAAATCATTGGATGGTTTAGGGATAAAAAAATTATGAACTATGGTATATTCACTTTACAAATTCCTTCAAACAGAACAAATGCACGCGATATAAGGCGTGGCTTCGAGAGTTTCATCTCCAATTGACCAATAGCGATCACGTGGCTATCGCGCATGTTTGTTTAATCATAAACTGAGGTTAAGTCTTTTAATTTTTATAGTAAAACCATTACCTGGGTAGAAGTCGTGAGATTTGGACATCTTTACTCTGGCACCTGTTTCTTTTTGCAGTTGGGCGATTGTCTCTCCACCTTTGCCAATAATGGCGCCGGCGGCCACACTTGGCACCAGCAATTTGAAATGGTATGTTCCATCGCCACCTGTAAAAAAAGAAAACCTATTTTATCTTTGATCGGTCTATAATTCTAAACTTTATTGTTGTCAACACTTGTTACTACGTAAATTGATTTATTATGACCTAGGCAATTCAAAATAATTTAAACCAATGAGGATGGGTTAACCTCACTTTCTACTTTTAACAATTGTATACAATTCTATATTAGGGTTTTTTTTCACGGCTATTTTTATTTTTTCGCTCCCCAGTCAAAAACTTGTTGATAATGTTCCAAAAAAAATTCTCTGAAAATTTGAGCCCTTAATATTAACTCCAAGTACTCTTCCAAAGCCTATCAAGATTTCCCATTTAAAATACACGTAAACTTTGATTTTTTTAATATCTATACCTCAGCCGCATTTTATGCTATTGGATTGTTCCAAAAAGGGATTAACTTGTAATCCAAAGTTCTAAAAAAATGCTTTATGTGCCATAGCTGTAATCTGCACCTGTAGGTCACATAGAAAAAATGTGAAGGACAAATTTAATTTTCTTTAAAAAAGTTCTTTTCAGTTGAACTGTCGATTTTCAGAACCATTTTCGTTAATACATAAAAAAATTGCAAATCTTATTAATTTTGCACTTTTAGCACTTTATCACTCATGAACATGAAGACTAAAAACGTAAATTTTTTTGTCTCTCACGTTCTGCTTGTCTTTTAGTTTCGTTGGTCAACTTAATTTCTTACTGAAATTAAATATTTTAAATTGGTTACATGTAAGGAACACGACAATGACGAGCACGGTAATGATTAGTTTAAGGTTAGAGTGTTTTACAATGTTTATTCGAAAATGTAATGGAATTTTCAATTAACCATTTACTTTTTGTTAATGCAAGACTCCTTTGTATTAATGTAAATATTTTGTATGTCCATAAACTTTGAAGTAATACTTACCCCGACAATGACGGACTTAGACGTAACAAGCCGTTTTCGTTTTCATTCGGCGCATGTCACAACTTTATGGTTTGACATATGCTAGTGGACGTTAGACAGGCAGGATATTTCCATATCAGACGTTAGAAAACTTCCGGCATTTTCCGAATGTATCGCGTATTTAAATATGAAATTAGACACATTTTAAGTAGCCATGGCAATGACGCTCATGGGTGTGAACAAAGTTTAAACGGCATTAAAATGCAATTTCTTGCTTGCATTGTATTATTTTGTATTTTCTTCGTCTGTGTTAGACAGGATATTTCAAGATTTAATTTGTAAATAAGTGTAAGAAAATAATATGTTGTTGTTCTTCGAATGTGAAAAAGGTACGGTAATGACGTTTGCGACACAAAAATTAAAATATATTTTTTACAATGCTCGTTTAGACTAAAATAAGTAAGGAATCAAGTAAAAATAGTTAATTAAACTAGACATCAAGTATTTTATTTTCAGTGGGGTATTAACTTTTGAAATAACAAGCCAGAACCGCTTGAATTAAACTTTTGAAATATTCACCTATATAAAACGTTTACATTGACATTTTATAAAAATTTTCAGGATATTCGTACAAAACTTTTTATAAATGATGATTTTCAATTGTTTATCAGTACAATTTTATGTAATTACGTTGTTTCTACAGTCGGGTGATTAGAGAAAAATAAATAACAAAAACAATCAAGCATAATTATTAATAAAATAACCTGTTGTATGTAATACACCTTGTTATATCAATTTTTAGGTTTGATACATATTTTCTCTTTAAAGTTATGATTAATAATTGATGGTTTTAGTTATTTATATTTCTCTAATCACCCGACTGTAGAAAAAACGTAATTACTTGAAATTATAATGATAAACAATTAAAAATCATCATTTATAAAAAGTTTGGTAAGAAAATTCTGAAAAATTTCATAAAATGTCAATGTAAACGCTTTATATCTCAACAAATATCCATATTAGCGATTCAACTGATAAAATCTTTTTTAAAGAAAATTAAATTTTCTACAAGGTCCTTTACATTTTTTCGATAAATCCAGTCACTTTTAAAATATCTTAAAAAATATGAGAATTTTTCACTAAAATCAGATTTAGTGACAATAATATGTACGATACAGGTGCAGATTAAAGCTATGGCACATAAAGCATTTTTGTAGAACATTGATAACGAGTAAATCCCTTTTTGGAAAAATCCAATAGTATAAAATGCGGCTGAGATATAGATATTTTAAAATAAAATCAAGTTTACGTGGATTTTAAATCTTTGTACGCTTTGGGAGAGTACTTCGAGTTAATATTAAGGGCTTAAATTTTCAGGTAATTTTTTTTAGAAAATTTTCAACAAAATTTTGAGTGGTAGCGAAAAAATAAAAATAGTCGTGAAAATAAAAGCACCCTATTCTATACACGTATATGTATCGTTCAACAAATAAAATTGTGCCTTGAAGATAAAATGTTGCCTGCCATTGTAATAAAAAGCCCGGTTATGTTATGCGGACATTTTCTGGCACACACACGAATATGTAAATCCGCACTGTACAGTGTTTTTCGAGGACTGCGATTTACCTTCCAAAAATTTAACGCTTTGCAGATAAAGTGGCGAAAACGTGAAAGCATGGTTTTTAAAATGAAAAGGGAGTAATTTTCGTTAAGAGTCGGGACTCAAGTGGATAATTTTGTCCCCTAATACAAAAAAAAGATTAAACGTTTTTATAATAAAATTAAGCACTTTACATCAAAAATGTTAAACATTCAAATAAACTTTATAAAATTGTATATCCGAAATATAAACTATGATAAAAAACAAAATATATACACTCACAGGCAAAATTATCGATCCACACAAATTTTCGATGAATTTCAATCGCAAATAACTTTTTTATTTGATTTCGGATTTAAACAAATATTAAAAAATATTGTAGATACATTAATGGAGAATCGCTCACATTTTAAAAATTACTAAAAAATACATCTACGTTTATAATATACAGGTTTAAACAAACAGATGTTTTTTACCATAAGTTTAAGACACTCTGTAGAGTGGAAAAAACCGTATATTGTTCTAAATTAAGTTTTAATTATCAAGTCACATCTATTTTTAACAGTTTTTGGTTCACCTTTATTTTTGTGGAAAATATGGATTTTTTTTTAAAAAACAATATCCATTTTTTAAAGTAAGAAGACACCTCAAAATTTAAACATTAATTTGGCAAAAAACAATTTGATAGCTTTTGAAAGCCGTGTATGACATGTCCAAGTATGGGATGAATCAACAAAACTGTCACTGTCATTCCCCATAGCCTATGGATGGACCATAGCAACCTTAGTTCTTCATACAGAAAAATATTGGAAATTGCAATGTTTTTTTTTAAATCCATATTTTCCACAAAAATAAATATATCGAGGTAAACCAAAAACAAAACTGTTAAGAATAGATGTGACTTGATAAATAAAACTTAATTTAGAACAATATACGGTTTTGCCACTCTACAGAGTGTCTTAAAGTTATGATAAAAAACATATTTTTGTTTAAACCTGTATATTATAAACGTACGTCTATTTTTTAGTATTTTTTTAAAATGTGAGCGATTGTCCATTAATTTATCTACAATATTCTTTAATATTCGTTTAAATCCGACATCAAATAAACAAGTTAATGCGATTGAAATTCATCGAAAATTAGTGTGGATCGATTATTTTGCCTGTGAGTGTATTATACCACCTTTGGTTTTGTTATTTGTTAGTCGTTTTGTCTTTATTGTGTTAATTTAGCCTTCTAATAAGATTACAATTATTATAATATGGGTCATTAGGTTCTCTGCCATTTGTCAATTGTCCCTAACATTTTAATGAGCCATTCCACGCCTAACGGATAGGACAGTTGCCGTGTTTTTATTTACAAAATAATATTGTTCTATTATATTACCAATGTCAAATTTTTATAAATAGTTCTAAACTAAAGGTTTTTATTTGGCAAAATTAAGTATCGTGGTTGACTGTTTTATTCCTTAAAAACTAATAATTTAAAGCGTAACGGACGGGACTTTGTAATAGTCCCGTCCGTTACGCTTTAAATTATTAATTTTTAAGGAATTAAACAGTCAATCACGATACCTAATTTTGCCAAATAAAAACCTTGTTAAACAGCTTTTGTCTAGAACTATTTATAAAAATTTGACATTGGTAATATAATAGAACAATATTATTTTGTAAATAAAAACACGGCAACTGTCCTATCCGTTAAGCGTGGAATGGCCCTAATATAGAACTAAATTCATAAATAACAAACATTAATAGACAATTTTTCAATTAAATGTAACAATATTTTTAATGTCTTTATTAAGGTTGAAAGTTAGCATCACACTCTATAACCCCATGTCCCCATCATATTGCAATAGTGAAAACTTGAATATATTTCATTGGTTTTGTATGAAACAGAATTCTAAAACTAAAATGAAATAAATAAGTAGGTCCTCAGTACTAATAAAGAATGTTATAAAATGTCTGTGAATAATTTTTTAAGCGTGACCAAACCTTGTCCTTATATTTCGTCACAAACCACCTACATAAAAACAGATTTGATATAAAATACACTGGAGTTTAGCATTACATATAAAAGAACTCTCTGTAACCCATGTAGTTTTGGTATCGCTATTGTTATTTTGAGCGTTACAAACAAGCAGCGTGTGTTTCTGAAGGATATCTTTTGTCACGGCATTTGCAGTATTAAATTTTCTTTTTCATGTAAAGTAAACCAATTTCTTTCTTTTCAATTAATGCAATGTTTTATGTGCATTCATTGGAAAATATTTTTTTTTTATTGTGAAAAATTTTTACACAAATTCTACCTTTGTTATTTAAAAAGTATACCCTATACATATTTTCTTTAAATGGCAGTATTGCCTTGTATACAAAATAACTTTCGCAAAACCAGCGCAATGAAATCATGAAAACTTGGTCCATAAAAGTCCATCATACATTTTTATTTAATTAAGCTTTTAATCATTGTACTAACCAAGCAAATCTTAATTTTAAGGCACTTGGTGTAAGTTTTAATGAATTTAATGCACTTAAAACAAACACTTGTGTGGTTAAAGCCCTTTAAAATTCTAAAGTTAATTATGAAAAACCTGTTATATATCATGACGACAATAATGGAATTTTTGTTTACTCTGGCAATAGCACAAATTTATTTTTTGGATGGAATAATAAATGATCATTCCACTTCTCATATCAGCAAAAAAATCTAAGAACATGTGTCTTCGAAATGCTTTTCTTTCGAGAAAATGCTTTCAAATATAATTAGGTTTAGTAAAGAAAATGGTTTCAGAAACATCACAAATTAAGTTAGATGTCGTTAAAAATGACCTAATTGGATGTTTTATTTTAGAAATGAGTTTGGTACGATAGTAATAGGGAAGATTGTGTATTGTTTGGCATTAGGAGACCAGGTTTGAAAAAAAATAATATACAGGGTGTCTGTTTAAAAACGAGCAATGCTCTAAAAATAAGGGACCAATAATACAATCTCCTAAAATTTCTGCCCAGGATACTGGGTATGATTTTCATTGCTCGTTTTTAAATGTTGTTTTGTTTAAATTAAATTATTGCCTTTTCCCCCAAAATAAAGTCCATTAGTTTTATTATAGATAATATTTGTTTTAAAGTTATGTTATTGGTATCTTTGCAATCCATAAGTCAATGTCATTTGTAATATGATATATGCGAGCTGGTGACATTTCAATCTAAACCGGCCACATTTGTTAAATTTACAAAATGTTTCGTAAACACTGCATCAAATAATCAGAACAGTGGTCGCATCGAATTATTTGCAATCAAGTTGATTAGGTACATTTTATTCGATCTGATTCAATCTTAATGGAAAATCATCGTCAGCCAACTTGCTGCTCTTGTTGTTAGCAATAATTAACCGTAGTAGGGGTTGGTTTAGTTAGTTAATTATAAGGCTAAATCATTTCCAAACAAATTGGTTCAATTTACACAAACAAACACCATTTCTGGAAATTAAGTAGAAGAGTTTTTTGAAAAGAAATAAACTTTGTAATTTCCCCAACTTAAACAATAAATTATACGCATTTAAAAAGATGAGAAAACTGAAACTGAAAAATTGCTGTTCCGTAAAACCACTATTAAAATCAGCCTAATTACCTTAAAATATGCAGTCAAATTAAATTTGCAAGTCCAACTAAAAAAAAATATGAAGCATTTAATAGTATATTAAAGAACTAATGTCATAAGACGTCATTTTGTCGCACGCGGACAATTTATAAAACAAGCGACAAAGTAGCGAGTTTTGTAATGGAAAGGTCTTATGACATGAGTTCTTTATGCTATTTTATCTATTTTGCAAAAATTCTATAAAAAAATTAATTTTATACCTTAAATTTAATTTGGTGGAATTTTACTTTAGATAGTTGGTATCACAGTCATTGGTTTGACAGTTAATGTCAAAATCGATTCGCCATACCGTCCTTAATTTACTTATTTACAATAAGCGGCTGTTGATGTTAAAGAAGAAAAAAAGGATTTTCTTTGGTGTTAAACAAAATTTATTGCCAGAAAAGTCCCGTAAGTACTAGAAAAATCATAAAAATATTATAACCAATATGCAAAATGTTATGCTGTTTAAAGTATAGCCAATCTATAAAATCAAAATTTTGGGTGGGTAAAGTATCTCATTACAGCACCGAAAGCGGTGTTATAATGAAGTCATTATGAACGCAAAAAGATAAACATAAATTTGCTTTTTAATCGACTAAAGTCTAAATGTATTATTTAAAAGTGGGATTAAATTTACCAATTTAGCGACATCTATTATAAATCTTGGAAGCTATTCAAACACCTGTCTTGATAAAATATAGAATCCAAATCCGAATTTAAAATATTTGACAGTTCCAAGAAACTTCCTTTGTCACTGCATGTTTCCTGCAAAATATTTCGAGAATGATTTTCCTGCAGCGAACGCTTTGCGGCACTTGTCGTGGGGAATAATTTAATTAGGTGTTGCTACTCGTTTAAGCAAGTTTTATGTCAAAGGGTTTTTTAGATTTAGTTAAATCTACAGTTATTTAGGTATATTAATTTGTATTCAGTACAAGTTTATTAAAATATTTTTTTTTTCGAATTGGCTTTAAATTCTTCTTTGTGTTAGTCGTAGAAAAAATATAGTATGCAACTTGTTTATAAACTTCCCAGACACTTGTTTTTAAAGTCATTTTTAAGTTTTAAGACAGTTTAACATTTTAATCAATCAAAAAATTGTTGTGACCAAATACCAAAATAAAAAATTAAAAGCTTTGGTAATATTAAACTAAATGTTTTGCAACTACAAACATCAATAAATTACTGATAAGTGTTGGGCATGAAATAATTGTTGTTAACTTTCCATTGTTATGCGTAACACAAACAAGCTACGAAACAAATCAAAATAATGACGCTCCTCGTTGCATCAAAGTTTCTTTGGTGGTTATACTATATGGTTGATAAATTTATTCCATTGTTCAGTAACCGTTAATAATTAAAGGCTTGCTTTAAACAATATAAACGTTATTAACTAATTATACTTTTAAATTGGGTAATTATTACTAAACCTAACAAATATTATTGAAAATGAAATTATATTGCGTTTAAACAGTACCTACATTGTTTACAAAACGTGGAATTGTAATAATAATAATCAGAATAATAATCACACTGTAGCGTCGTTAATGGTAGCGAGAAAAAATGACTTATTCCTTACCAGATAACAGCTGGGAAGAAATTTTATAAAGAGGGAGGAATATTTTTGCCAAATAATAATGTTGTCAAAGGGGGGAATGTATATCATTATCAACAATCGGCGTAATATTAACCACTCAACAAAATACTGTATTGCATAACGAGGGCAGAAAGACAGAACGTTCTTTAATATCTATTTTCTACTCCCACCTTTAAAACGCCCTTTATCGTACATGTTTCCATGACATTAAGTGACCTTTTAAATACACATTGACAAGTTGTGGCTTTATGGCGCTTTAGTCACGGGATGAAGTTAGTTTTAAGTTAGTTGACAGTTGTCAAATGTCATACAATCGTTAAAATAGTGCATTTCTTGTAAAATAATACTAAATGTGAAAATTATTTTATTATCTCAATACAAAAATACAAAAGTATTCAATAGTTTCTCAACGCCAATATTTGAAAAGTTTATATGAACATTGTACTGACCTTTTAATTTCGCCGGCAGTAAACTATAACTTAAATTCGGGCACGGACTCTACTGTAAAGTCCTCATAAAACATTTTCTTTACTTTCACTGTGAAAAACTGTCAATTTTCAAGAAATACATTTTGATTTATAACTTTTGTAATTGTGTTTATAAAGTATATAAAAATTTGACATTTGACGTTGACACACAGATCCCCCTATTGTTTCATAGATGGCGCTCTATACAAATTTTTGATTTAAATCATTATAAGATAATAATAAGTATTTGTCGTAGAAAAAGTAGTTTATAAACTTTTCTATACACTCATTAATTTAAATTCGTGAATAAAATGGCGTTTATCAAACTTGATACAAAATATACTATTATCTACTCCTACATTGATAAGCTGTGACTTGATGGAGTTTTAGCCACGAGCTGAAGTTAACAACAGTGGCTTCTGGTCATTTTAGTCACGGGCTAAAGTTGGCTTTATTATTAATTAGGAAAAAGTGAGGTTAAATCCGTTAAAAGTTGAGAAACAAATGTTGGATTAATTCGTAATTCTTGACACATCTGTTACAACATCGTGACGTCGCGATATCTTTTCAAGGTCATTAAAGCGTTTTGAATAATATTTTTAATTTATTTAATCGGCTGGAAAATTCTAATGATGTAAAATGAACCACCCTGTGTATTTTTTATAAGAATAAATTTCATATAAAAAGCAAAAAGCAGTTTAATTTAATTTCGTTAAAAATAAAGATATGTTACAAATTGACGGTACTAAATTTATCAAAATCTTAGATAACAAAATATTCAAGCGATAACCTCAATTTACGGCTTATCTATTATTTACAAAATTTTACTGAACACAAAATAAAACTTATAATAAGAATATATAAAATGTATAAACATTATTGTGCTTGTAAATAATTAATTTTTAAATTAATGGGACAGTAATTTTGTTCTATAATTTAAAATAAAATTAATTTTATAAATTTGATTTCATAAATATTTGTATTTTTGTATAAATTAATTAATGTTACGTAGGTTATTTATTTTTAAATGAATTCAATACAATTTCATTTAATGCAATTAATACCAAAAATGTTTGTTAAATTTTGTAAAAATATTTTTTCGATTAAATAGCTTTATTTATTTAATATTTAGTTTCCTGAGTATTCTATTTATGAAAGGATTTTCGTAAATAGCAAGCGCACCATTATAGAGAACAGCATTTCTATGCCCTATTATAAGAGGCTTTTCTGAGTGGATTGAACAGTTTTTTTGTGTTTGAAAAAAATAGGTCAGGACGAGATGGAAAGCACGAAGAAAATATATTTATTCATATGCACTATATTATACAGGGTGTAACGTAAGTGTTTGAAAAAAATAAAATAGACAATCCACCGTTTAATTTAGTTATTTTACTCTTGTGTGAGAATGGTTAAAAAACATAGCATTATTGCTACAATTGTGGTAAGTTTTTAAAAGACTGCTTCTATGCATCTGGAATGTTTTTTTTAGCTGACTGGTCTTCATTTTGTCAAGATAAAAGATGTCAAAGTTAAGATTTCACTATTTTTGTTTTTCGGTATTTTCAAAAACTAGATGATTTTATGCATAAAGTATTATTATAAAGTATTCTTTTTATACCCATGGGTATAAAAAGAATACTTTCAAAATGTGACACTGGGTCCATAAATTTAATAAGTATGCTGTAAAAAGCATTTTGCAACAACGGTTTTGCTACCTGAATTATTTTAGTATATTTTGTTATTATGCTTCATCATTATTATAGTCGAAAATTTAAGTTACAAACTCAAACTTTATTATTTTCTCTATAGAAACACAAACATATTAACTCAAAAAGTATAATACCAGCTGTTATCGTGTTAAACGTTGCCAAATTTACTGTTCAATATTTTGCTTTTGCTTATCCGTCATTTTCTTTATATTATGGCCTTTATATAAGAAGATATTTTTCCGAGTTTTGGTTGAAAACCAAAGTAATTGCTAGTATTGCAAAAATGGCGAATGCGCCGGGATAAAATATAAATTTCTGTACCCTGTGTAACGTTACATATTTTTTGCACACGATTTCCTGATATTTCCAATGGCAAACAGGATACAGTCCTGGCTTACTTAGATTTTAATACTATGGTATGTATATACTTTTTCTACGACAAATACTTAATATTATCTAAAAAATTATTTAAATTAAATATTTGTATAAAGCGACATCTATACGAAAATGAAGTTACCATCGCAATAAACAATTTGACATAATTTTCACCATCAACATTGCCCGTTAATATTTTCATTAAACTTAACAATTATTGATACTTTTAAATATTAAAATAACATTAAAATATAATTGTTAAGAAAATATTTTATCCATTTTATTACCATAATTGCAAAATATCACCAAATATTACAAATTCTTACACGGGAAATGTTAAAGGTACAAAAAGTTGTATTTATTGGGATTCCCGTTAGAATTTCTAACTTTGGAATCTACCGGCGTTAAAATTTAAAATTTGTCTGTGTAAAGAAAATTTATCCCTTGAAAATAGACTAACAATCGATATAAAAGCTTTATCAGTTAAATCCAGTTAACTAAACTACTAAGGCGAAATTAAAAGGTCAGTACAAACGTTCATATATTTTTTTTCAAATATTGGGGTTGATTAACTAATTAAAACTTTTGTATTTTTGTAATGAGATAATAAAATAATTTTTACATTTGGTATTTATTTACAAGAAAGGCACTTTATTTTAACGATTGTATGACATTTGACAACTGTCAACTAACTTAAAACTAACTTAAGCCCGTGACTAAAAACTTGTTGCTAATTTTAGCTAGTGACTAAAGCGCCATAAAGCCACAAATTGTCAATGTGTATTTAAAAGGTCACTTAGTGTCATGGAAACATGTACGATAATGGGCGTTTTAAAGGAGGGAGTAGAAAAAATATATTCTTTAAAGTGTTACAGAATGAATTATTCTATCACCGGATGACGAAATAAACTATAGTATTTTTTGGAAAGTAGAAAAAGTAGTCTGGGACACATTTGGAATTGCAATACATATTTGTAAGCACAAAAAATTAAATTAAAACATTCTCTTCACTTTCATTGTGAAAAACTGATTCTTATATAGGATTAAACGGTCGATTTTTAAGGGATACATTTCGATTTACAAAAAAATTTGATATTATTAACTTGGTTACTCTATTGTTTTATAGATGTCGATCTAAACAAATATTTATTTAATTTAAATATTTTTTAGATAATAAGTATTTGTCTTATAAAAGTATAGTATAATTTTGGGATTAGTAACTAAACACAATTTGGACACTGTGCGAGAAAAAAGTTCTATGCAATTATGCTCGTAATATTTTTGGTTGATTTTTCCGTCTACAAGTCAATTTACTAAACAATTTACTTTTTATTTTTCCAAGCGTTTACGAGGAAAATTGGGTACAAGCAATTTATTTTTATTTTATACTGTTATAAATATATTGTGATGAAACAAAAAGAAAAAAGTTAGGTAAACGAATTTTATAAAACAAAATAAATAAAATGCAATACAATTTGCTAATATTATGTTGCTATAATTATTCATTGAACCCACAAAAACGCCTAACGATGTAATTCTATACAAAAAGAATCCATTACAAATATGTTAGTTATATGAAATATTTTACTCCGCCAGCTGGCGTCCTCCCACTATCATATTCGTATGTGGAAGGAATCTGGCATAACAAGATAATTACACAGTATCGAAGATAACAAAAATAAATTAATAAAGCAAACAAAACAAAACATTTTTCTAAACGGCTCGACGTTTTAATTTTCGAGTCGGTGTTCGGTTTCGCAATTTCCTGCTTTATTGGAAATTGGATATTTGTGTTAAGGTTGGCGGTTTGTTATTGAACTAACATTAGTTTTAGTGAACGCATAAACTACATGCTACTACCAGTCTCAAGGTTCGCTTAATTTAACAAATTAACTGTCTTAAACAAATTCTGTTTTTGATATATTTGGTAAATAAATTGTACATTAAGAACTTGCTGATAGCAATGGAGATGCCAAATTTAGAAATAAAAAAATTCAGGCAATAGTGTAATGGGTCATTCTATCGTTTCGGGTGTTAAATTTGTTCAACCAAAGTTTAAAATTGTATGTATTTTGAAATAACATTTTAGCAATTAAAGTTTACTTTTTGAGTCGTTTTCAAAAAACACCCGCCTTCCGCTGTCCGTAAGTTTGAATTCCAATAACTTTGTTAAAAATTATCGGATCTTATTGATTTAAAAACCAAGTAAAAGCCTAACAAGCCCTTAGTAAACTCTTTCAGTAATGTTTGTTAAACATTGTTTAGTTATTTTAGAATATTTTTTTTTTCAATTTTGAAACTTGTGATACACACATTTTCGCATGTCCCATTAGCGTTTTATAAAACTTCCATACATGTTTTTTTTTAAATATTGAATAACCAGAACTTTGTGTTGCTTTATAGCAATCCATAACATCCTTAGTTAATAAAGTAAACAATTTATATATAAATTAATTAATTTTAATCTACTTTTTTGCGTTACGTCCGTCGCGTTACCGATAGAATATTAAAAAAACATATATATGGCAACTTTTTGGCACTCACGTGATCAACAAATGATGTTCGGACGTACACATTACCCAGCTGAATTTATTTATTTAATCAGGAAGAAGATATCGGTTGAAACAGGTGCGGCTAACGCGAATGTAATAATTGTTTGTCCGCTAAGTTACTCAAAAAAAAATAATAAAAATAAGATAAGAAAAAATATTATTTTTCATGTTTATGTTTATTTTAGGGCACTAAAGTTCATTTTTTAAATATGGTTTCACAAAACTTTTTCCACTGCGTTACCGAGTACATTGTGTTACCTTATGGTAACGCAATGGAATTTATGGTAACGCAATAGAATTTTTCGACAACAAAGTGGATATTTACCGTCGTTTTTATTAAAATTGGTTTATGATAAACCAATTTAAAATTATTAGTGATTACAACTCATGATATAGATTACATCCAAGGGAAAATTCCACGCAATATACAAGTACTAAAAGGGACCTTCACCAGCTTATAGTCAAAGAAAAAGGGTGTCTACAATTTAGAAATCTAAGTTGTCATTCTGCAAGTGAGCACCACTACAAGGGTTTTTGTTTATACATTACTCTAAAATCGTACCACCCTATATAGTTTCTTTTTTACGTTATCTGATTAAGTCCTTTGTAACCCCAGTCCGTTGTGATACCAATGTCTATTTCGTTACTTTTTTTAGTTTTTGTTAAAAAAAATACTTAAAATGATTTTTATACACTATCACTTGGTAATACGTGTTTATAAATTAGAGTTTAACTCACTAATACAGTGACTAAAAGAAAATATTAATGGTATTGTTTTTTTAACAAAGAATCGGAATGGTTTCTTTTAAAAAGTAACTTAACGAACATAAATATACATAAAAAATTGGAGTCAAAAGTTTGTCAAATTATTTCTATAACAACTTTTTTTATTGAATTAAATTTTGGAATTCAAATTGGTAACACAGTGGAGATATATAAAGCTAGCTAAACACATTTTTCAGAAAAAAACGTAAAAAAATTAAAAAGTGCACTGCTTGTCTTAAATGTAAGTAAACAAAACTCCAAACATTTATAAAAATCCAACCAAAAGTCAATTTAAGCAAAAAAAAAATTTGATCTTCATTTTCCTGAAATCGGGTGTTTCTTGAAAATGACCCATATAGGATAACGATTTTATAAGTAAAAAAGTGTGCGCTTCGGGTGTTTCACGATTCTGCCTCTATGTCCTGACCATTGTTACATTTATTTGAAATTCAGCGAATTTTCTTAGAGAAACATTCTTAAAAATTACAGGCCTCCAAAAGTATAATATTTACTAACCATCACTGTCACAAATAACGTTTTACTATTTTTTTAATAAAATTTTACTATGTTTCGGGTGTTACCCTGGTTCTGTTTCGGGTGTTACAAGTACAAAAATTATTTTTTCTGGACTGTGACTCAATCCACCAATACTACGATAAATAATCTCAAATCACAACGTGGAAAAACGGTTGACAGATTGACAGTTTTGTTTTTTTTTGTATTTCCAATAATTAGAGGCACAATTGTGCCATTAATGGTCATTCAGCCAGTTCACTTGAGTACAGATTTTGAAAACTAATTAACTTAAAAATTACGCGTTTCTTCTAGTTTTTTTGTGACGCATTATAATTTGGAATGTTTTTTTCTTTAAATTTATCAGATTTAATGCGAAAAAAACATATTTAGGCTCTCGCCTAGGAGTAACGTAGGAGACGATAGAACATTGTTGTCTTAAAACTTTAATGTCTTATAGTAAAAATTAAACAACTAGTTCTGTATCCCAGAGCCATTCTAGTAAAATGAACTTCGTTCATAACCCGCTGAACTGTGCAACTTCCCTTATGCTCTTCCTACTATTTGCATCAAAGGCATTGAAAATAGTA